GCCATCACTGAGCGCCGCACACCCGCAGCTGACGAGCGTGGCCCAGAGCCAATCGCCGCCCGCCCTGTCGGGATGGCGACCAATGAGATTGGAGCATGGGCGGGTTGGCCCCGCCCCTCTCGCGGGTGCTGCTGGGAGCTGTAGTTTGCAGGGAATATGGCGGCTGCTGGAAGCGCGGAGTTAGAGAATGGTTTACGTTGGAAAAGCTCTAAAATCCCATTTTATTCCACCTCTGCCATGGTCAGGGATACCTCCCACTGTCCCAGGCCGCTCCAAACCCTTTCCAGCCTGCCCTTGGACAATTCGGGGGTGGGGCAGCCACAGCTTCTCTGGGCAACCTCTGCCAGGGCTCAGCACTGTCACGGGGAAGAATTTCTTCCAAATATTTTGGGATGCTGCTCTAAAAAGGATGGGGATAAAAGGAGTTCCTGTGGGGAATAACCATCCCCAGGCTCATTGAGGCCACAAGTGACACAGAAGAATGCCAGGACTGGGCCAAGGGACAGCCCAGGGAATCTCTGTGTTGTACAGCCCCTCTCCTTACAGACTTTAAATCCACTTGCTTTCCAAAATATGTCACTTATTTCCTTGATTCCACCAGCCAGCAGGACAGAACAGCTCTCATTCCCTTCTTCACAGCTGTTCTGAACTGAATGTGAGGATTTATCCCAGATTCCCATGGCATAAACTGTCCCAGGACGCCAAAGACCAGCCATGGAAATCCTGCCCTTGAGTCAGCAGAAGATGACGGTGGTTGTTCACACATTCTTTATTATAAAAACAAAAAGAACGAAACCAACATTAAATTAAATAAATTACAAACATTTCTGAGCGGATTATACATCATGCATTTACCAAGTAAGGCTTCAGATCCAAAACACATCAACCTCGCTGTTACTTAAGAGCCATAAAGGGAATTTTTTACCAGAAGTGAAAATATTTCACCAGCACGACTTTGAGCTCCCCTTATTCCCTGCCCAGGCACTTGGGAATTATGACTTTGGCCACCTTGTGCTTCCAGCAGTGCCATTTGCCTGCTGGTGTTAACATTTATTGCCAGAACTGAGCCAGAATTTGGCTGCAGAAATGTGATTTCCTCCTGCCTGGGTCATGATTTGCTGCTGCTGTTGTTTTCTCGTGACATCCCACCCCATTTCTTGTAGGAAGTTTAGGAAATATAATCTGCTTTATGCCTCTGCATTTGGCCTGTCAGACCCCAGGCTGGGAAATCAACCTCCTGTAATAAATCCTAAAGAGCTGGGAATTTAAACTTCCTTTTTTTAATGTGAGACACAAAAATATCGATCAAGGCAGTTTCTTGTTGCTCTGCACCTATTTCTGTTCTGCCTTTCTTTCAAAATTAGCACTTTTTAAAAGGAGCACTCAGGCACTACAAAAGGGCATGAGGAATCACCCTCAAGGATAATTCAAGAGGTTTAATCTCTTGATTTTACCTCGTAAAACAAGATATGCACGGGGATTTCTGGAGAAACCACTGTTGTTTAATATTAAAATGAGTAATAAGCATCAGCTAGTGGGGTTTTCTGCCCTCCTTTGGTTTTATTACTCTCTCCTGCACCACATAATCAGAAATTGAGGTAGAGAAATGGTGACTTGGTTATTGAGATGTTACATAAAACCAAACTGGCAGGGGGCTGCTGTTGTTTCCTTTAGTGACTGTCTAGCAAGGATGGTTGAAGAAGTTCTATTTTCCTTAAAAATGAGGCATCTGGGAGCTGCAGGAAAGCCTCACATCCTCTTCCCAGGAAGCCTTCAGCAATCAGCTCAATAATATCTCTGTACTTCAAAACCGTACACTAAAGCTTGCTGATGTATTTGTTATATTTTTTTTTAGAGTATTAAAATAGAAACAGCATTTTCAAATATTTTAAAAGTCTGTTTTCACGTGCTCAACCCACCAAGCAGGCAGGACAACCTGCATGTAATGAGGAAGTCTTATTTCTGAGTACAAGCCTGTGCTAGCAAGGAAAAAAAAAATCATGTTATTTCAGAATTCAGCCCTGCTGAGAGAGTCCTGAGGCCTTTGGGGTGTCAGAAATAGAGCACTGGTTCGAGGCAGGGGTTTTTGGGATGCTGGGATGCAGAAGAGGAGAGGCAGAGGCTGCAGAGACCCGCAGGGAAATTCAGGGTGGACATCAGAGAGCAGCAGCACCGCCACACCTCGAGGAGCCGAGCCCCAAAAAGGCTTTTCACCTCTGTATTTCACTTCCTCGGGGAAAGGGAGGGAGCAGGATGCCCAGATGATGCAATTCCAGCGCGGGCAGAAGGATGGTGGGGGACAAAGGGGTGGCTGAACGTCCCCTGAGCCGAGCTCCACTTCTGCAGTCCCTGAGATGGCATCTCCCGAGCTTCCCCAGGCTGCTCCTGCTCCAGAGCCCCCTGATCCGAGTGAAAGCAGGGAGGAGAGAGGGATCTGGCAGCTCTGGAGGGTGGTGGCCTCTTTGCAGAGCCGCTGTGTATCCCCAGGTAGAAGCAGAGGTCTCCAGTGGGAGAGAGGAGCCAGTTGTGGAGGGTTTTCCTGGTGCTCGCCGTGCTCACAGAGCTGTCTGGCTCTCCGAGTGGAACATGCTTCCAAACATCTCCTAAAGGGCACAGAAGATGAGTGGGGTCAGGGCTGGTGGCAGGGCACAGCTGGGTGTCATTGTCACAGCGACAGCCCCTGCCTGCCCTCCGTGCTTCCAGCTGGCCACGGACAGGCAAGGCCAGCCCAGCTCCTCCCGAGGCCCACACGGGGCTGCAAATCTCTGCAGCTTTCACAAAGCCTGTGCTGAAAATCTTCACCCATTCCCTCTTCTTTCGGGCGTGAACCAAACCTGGTTCTCCAAGTTCCCCCCAGGTGCGACTGACCCTGAGCTGCAGAACGATTGAAGGGTTCCTCTGTGGGGTCACCTGCCTGCTCCTCATCCAGGTGCCTTCCAGAGCTCCTCAAGGCAGGGATTTATAGCTTTATTTACAGTTAACTTCCCGAAGCACTGCAGTTACTTTCAGACCATTTCCCATCTAAGCAATCCCAAGTGGAAATTCTGATTTCTGCCTCATCCCCATGGCTGCAGGGACCCCTGGAACTACAACTCACCTCCTCCAGGTTCTTGTACTCTGCACTGCTCTCGTCCACAGATTCATCATAGATGGAGAGCTCTGTCTGGGTCTGCCTCTGTGCAGGGAAGAGTCGAGTCCACAAATCAGCAGGGACAAAAGGGATGAAAACAATGACTAAGCCAGGCCTAAGAGGTGACACACACACTCTAAGAAGTGGCACAGAAGGAATCCTGCTGCAGGTGTTTATCTGCTGTGACTGGGCTGGTGTTTGCCTATCGCTCTGGTTTGATAGCAGATACCTTAACTGGTCCTGGGGAGATAACTGGTGCTGCTGGTGCCAGCTCCAGCTGGCACACAATAAACCATCCCCTGCTCCCAGAGCCACACTGTGCCACCAGCCTCAGAATTCCTGCCTCAGAATTCCTCCTGTTCTCCTCCCATCCATTCATGGCTGTTCCAGCTGAGCTTTTCTTCATCACTGAGGGCCGAACTCTGCCTTTGCCTGTTTGAGCCAGCACCAAACTGAGGGCACAGAGCTGGAACAGCTCCTCTGGCTCCTCCAGGCTGGGACAACACTCATCTCTCAGCTGAGGGTGTGTGTAAAACACTGACACTTCTGAATTCCCATGGAAATTCCATCACAATTCCATTCCATCACAAGGTGCTCAGCCCATACATGACAACTGGAATATTAAATATTTTGCAGGATTTAGACCTTTACCCCTTGAGATAAACAAGAAGCTTCATTAGGTGCAGCAGCAATTTGTTAATCTTTCACTGTGCTGATGCAACCTGGAAGCCAAACAGGAGAATCCCGTGGGCTGGGGAGCAAATTTACCTCTTCCAAGATGGGAGGGTGAACAAATTCTCTGATGCTGGCCAGTGCAAACAAAACAGCATCGTGGATGGTCAGGAAGATGTGACTTCGGTCCAGGCCTCCTTCCTCAAAAACTCCCCCTGTGCTGATGTCATTGTACACCTGGGCTGGAGAAAGGAGAGAGCTGAACAAGGAGGAAAGCAGAGGAGGAATTCTGGAGGTGTTTGTGGCTGCTGGGGTCCCCTGAGCTAAGGCAAGGCTCAGAAGAAGCAGGTTTGCAGCAGAAATGGGTGTGGGGATCTGTTTTTCTGCGTGCTGAGTGTGGAGATGTTCCAGCCTTATCACTTCCCAAATGAAAGCACTGATTTCACACTCAGAGAAAAGTGATTTTCTTTTCTTTCTTCTGTTTTCTTCTTTTATCTGTTCTGGCCTGGTCCAGCAAAGGATTGGCATCTCACAGTTTGAATAAAGAGCAGAAAAAGATCTGCTGTTTGTCAGGAGCTCAGAAATGGGGCAAGAACCCATGGAAATGTGTTCTTTGGGGATTCTTACCATGCACGTTTGCCAAGAAGACTTTAATCCCAATCTTCTGGTAACTGGAACACAACTGGAAGGGACGAGATGGGAGAGAGAGGATTAAAAACACTGCTGCTCCAGCTTTGTGTTTATGCATAAAGTCTTTTATCAGGGCTGGGGCTGAAGGAGAAAATCAGGCACGCAGAGGGAGAAAAGCCACACAACTGAGGCACAAAAACACCTTCATGTGAGACAGCAGAAGCTCCCTGCTGCCCAGCAGCGTTGGCAGTACAGAACTAACCTTGCTGAGCGCTTTTGTGCCCATCAGGTCCACGAAACACACCCCGCTCATGTCCAGGATGATGGTGTGGAAGCTGATGTAGGGCGGTGCTGTCAGCACGGGGTCGCTGAAGGTGCTGCTGCTGCTGCCCAGCTCCCCGGGGCTCTGCCCCAGCCCAGCCCCCTGGGCAGGAGGCTGGAATGTGATGTAGGAGATGCTGGCACCGTTAGCAGTGGTCTGGTTGTTGTTGGTGTCTGTTGGAGAGGCGCTCTCAAAGTCCTTCTGGAGCTCTTGCAAAGACAAGGTCTGTGGCACAGCAGAGAGGCAGAGTCAGGGCAGGGCACAGGGGAGGTCCTGGCAGGTGACTGCACCTCTACCCACTGGCATGAAGTGTTTTAGTCTGGACTAACTCCAGCCTGGCTGTCCCTTGGGCTGGATTTAGGATAATTTACATAACCTGTTAGTTCCCAAACTGCTCAGCATTGCAAAACAAACGGGGGGACTGAGATGGGCTTTGAAAGGACACCTTGGGGCTGAAGTGCTGACACATCCCCACAGAAAGAGGCCAGAGCTGGATGCTTTCTGCAGATTGTTCATTCCAGCCTCCTCTCCAGCTGCCCTGCTCCCAGCCATTCCCAGATTTCCTGCACCTTAAGGTTTGGGGAGGAATGGAGACGGAGGTGGGGAGGAGAGGGGATGAGAGGTAGGAAATTGAATGTTTTCCTGTGGCCAGGAAAGCAGTGCAGAAAATCCCATGTCAAGAGGAGCTGTCTGATGGGGTCTCGGGGTCCCTCGTGGATATGGGGACCTTTTTGGGAACTGGGGAGCTGAGTTACCTTGCTCTCCTTCAGCAGGAATTTTGGGAGCTTCGCTGGTGGTTGTGCTGTGCCCTTTGCCTGCTGTTTCACAAACTTCCTCCTGGCCAAGTACACCTTGCCAGGATCCACCCCTGTCTGTGGGAAAGAGAGATTTTTTCTTTAAAAATCCCATTCCAAGAGTCAGGAGCTGCTGTTCCTTCCCTGGCGTTTCCCAGCTGTGCACTGGAGTGGGCTGATCCTGATCCAAACATCTCCTGGAACTCGGGGAATGTGCAGGGACAGACTTGGAACAGCAGGATGCCCCTGTTTTGGCAGAGCTCGGAGGAGGAAGCTGCCAGGATTAGGGCACAACCTCTAAAATGAGCTCTGCAAACAGCCCTGAGGATCAGGGAGAGGAGGATTGAGGAGCAGAAGATGGATGATGATCATTCATGATCACCCACGGCTCAATTACCCCCCTGTAGCAACACAGGAGAGAGCAAGGGCAGCTTGAGATTGGCTTCAGGCAGGGATTTATTAAAGAATTGCTCACCTTGGCTATAATTTTCTCCCGGAATATCTCTGAGTTGGCGAAATACAGCGGCGAGCAGTAGGTGACGATTTTAATCCCATTAATTTCATGGACCTGCACCAGAGACAAGAGCTCAGAGCAAGCCTGGGCACCGGTGGCAAGGAACAGCATTTTCTCTGAGGATGTTTTATCTCCAGCTCACCTTGTTGTAGGTTTTGGGGTTCTTGTAGATGTCGGTGGAAGTCACCTGGCCCAGGGCAGAGCCGTTGCGGCTGCAGAAAAGAAGGGATCAGCATTAGGGGAAAGAAAACTGCTTCACATTTCATCCCAGGATCTGAACATTTGCTTTGTGACATTTCATCCCTGCAGAGTCTACAGGGCAAAAAAAAATTAAAATAAATTTAAAAAGGGTTTGTATTTTGAGGAGCCAGACTGGGAAATACCAATAAAAGCTTTTGATGGATTAAAAGTGGCGTGACGATCTCACAGCAGGGCCCAGCACCCAGACAGGGCTCGCAGGACTTGGTGCTGGGAACTGCGTGGGGCCAAGCAAATTCCTGGAGGCTTCCCCTTGCCCTGGGATGTGCACGGAGCGGGAATGCGGGCGCGAAATCGGCGCCTGCCATTCCTGTTTGCGCATTCCGGGCAGGACACCTGCGCTCCCCGGGGCTCCTGCCGCGCGTTCCGCGGGCCAGAGGTCGCTCCTGGAAAAATCACCTGTCCCTCCTTCTGCCCCTGGGAGATCTCCCGTGGTTCTCGAGGCCGTCAGGTACTTACAACTGGGTGTGGAAAACCACGACGAGCACGGAGAATCCCACGCCCACCGCCACGCCGTAGGGGAGGCTCAGGAAGAAAGCGGAGAGGAAACTCACGAGCCAGACCAGCTGCAGGGAGAGGAGGGGAGAGAAGAGAAGCTGGTGGTTTGAACCATGGCTAGAAAGCTGGAGGGTTGGGATGGGAAAATGGACGGGAAAACGGATGGAAAACCGGAAAAACTGATGGAAAAATGGATGGGAAAAAGCGGATGGGGAAAAACGGATGGGGAAAAACGGATGGAAGAACAGAAAAACAGATGGGAAAAATGTATGGGAAAACATGGATTAAAAAAAAGGATGCAAAAAACAGATCGGGAAAAATGGATGGAAAAAAGGGGTGGGAAAAAAGGGGATGGGGAAAAAAGGGGATGGGGAAAAAGAAGGGATGGGGGAAAAAAAGGGATGGGAAAAAAAAGGGATGGGAAGAAAAAAAGGGATGGGGGAAAAAAAGGGATGGGAAAAAAAAGGGATGGGAAAAAAGTGATGGGAAAAAAAAAGGGGAGGGGAAGAAAAAAGGGGATGAGAAGAAAGGGATGGGAAAAAAAACAGATGGGAAAAAACAGATGGAAAAATGGCTCTGTGCTCCTATCCCAGACTCTCCAACCCTCCCAGGCTCAACATGAGTAGGCCAAAGCCTGAATTCTGCAGCTGTTGTAATGCTGCAGTTTGCTGCATGTTTCAGAGTGAGCCATCCTTGCTGGGAAGTTTGCCAGGAGCCCCAGTTTCTTTCCAGCCATCTGAGAAACCGGGGCGTTTCTCCACGGCTGCTCGAGCACCCGCTCCGCTCGTTCCATCCGAAAAGGATTGGGAAAGGGCTCCTGCAGATCCCACCGTCTGCTGCTCCCTGCTCCAGCCACGAGCAGCTCCTGCTGTCAGTCAGAGCAGCTCAGAAAAATGCAGGAATCATCTCCCTGAATCCTGCCTGAGCGCCTCCTAGAAACGGCCTGAACACAGAGAGGATTTGGTGGCCAAGTGTGACAGAGGAGACCAAAACCTGCCCCACTCCAGCTCAGAGTCATTTTTTGTGTTTGCCCTCAAGCATCTCACTCCATGTGAAATCAGTCCTGAGTTTAAACATCCCCTGTGAAAATCAGCATCAGGTTGTTTTAATCCCGTCCTCAAGATTAATAAAAACTAACTTTGACCTTGGGTGTATGAGTAAAGGTATCTTTGTGACTTCAATATATTAATTTTTATTGATTTTGTGTATAAATGGCAGGGAAGAGTTTCCATCCATCATCCATCCATCCATCCATCCATCATCCATCCATCATCCATCCATCCATCCATCATCCATCCATCCATCCATCATCCATCCATCCATCCATCATCCATCCATCCATCATCCATCCATCCATCATCCATCCATCATCCATCCATCATCCATCCATCCATCCATCATCCATCCATCCATCATCCATTCCATCATCCATCCATCCATCCATCCATCCATCATCCATCCAGGCTTCGTTAGAATTAGCTGGAATTAGCTGTCCTGAAACACAACCAGCATTCAGGTGATGAACACCAATGGTCTGACATCACCCAGGAATGGTGCTCTCCGTTTTGGGACAGGACATTGAATCTAGTTCAGATTCCAAGG